ATATCACTTCTACTCCTACTGGGAACATATAAACCTACTGGTTTCCCTATACCATCAATATTTTACAATTATTATTTTAAATTGACACAATAATCATACAAATTCCTATAATGTTGTGTAATGTGATGTTTTGATAGATATATGTGTGTGTGGGATCAAAACAAGATGATTAATGTATCCATCACCTCAAATATTTTTTATTTCTTTGTCATTAATTTTAATCTTGCTCCCTTTTTTTTCAGTGGCATAACCTATAAGAAAATTAAGTACTATCAGAATCAGCAATTTGTTTTTCAGTTAAGCAGCAGAAGATAAAAATGGAAGAATGATAGAAAGGTTAATTTTGTAGTGTGCAGTGATGCATAATAAGTACCTGGCATCTGAGGATGTCTAGCTTGAGACCTGAAATGGTGAAAGCCAAGGTCATGTCCCTTCTCATTTACAGGGAAGGATGTAGCATTTATAGGAAGTAAGGGAAGTTGTTGTTTGGGTGACCGGGAGGACAGGTAACCTGGAAAACTCCAGCCTTGCCTTCATAGTAAACATCCTCCCAGCGAGCTTCCAAAGGGCTGTACACTGAAAGAACAGGAACAAAATGGGCATAATTGTGCTGTTTTTTGAATAGTTCCACTCTGCTTGGTCTCTCTTTGAGACAGGTCATTGATTGCACTAAGATGGTACACAAACATTGGCATTAGCAATGGGCTGGCTTTTCATCCCATCCTCTCTTCTCAGGAGCCAGTGTGTGCAGTGAGCTACAGGCTTGGCAGCATCTGGAATGGCATCTTTGCATTCTCCTTTGAAGTGATGAAGAATATTCCAGACAACAGCTGGTTGTTCTCTCCTGGAAACCAGATGCTGCATAGCACTGAAACTAGGAGCTTAAGATAGAAGGTTCTTTCTAAAACCAGGTTGCAATGCACATCTACTCAGGAGGCTAAGGCAAGACGATTGCAAGTTAGAGCCCGGCGTGGACACCTTACTGTAAATTATATAATTGAGATCTTAAGAGTATGAGGCTGATCATTTAGAAGAGCTGTCTCTCCCTTGTCAGAAAGAAGAGCAAAAGTGGAATTGGGAAGAGCATGAAAGGGCTTCATGTGGCATACAGACAACCTATTGTATGAATCAGAGCCATCTTTTTCCTAGCGTAGTTATAGGCAGTGGAGTCAGTAGATTGAGAAGTTTGAGAGGTCATGCATTAAATAAGATTTAGCTTCAGTTGTTCTCTTGGCCACTGTCATATCACTGCATTTCCTAAAACTATACTCAATTGAACGTCTGAAAATGACATTTTCCTAAGTGATGAAAGTTTCTCTATTTTGTGTGCCTGTGGTATTTTAAGAATATCATTCTGTTCTTCCCCTACGTAAAGGGAAAAGAAAAAAATGTGAGAGAATGAAAAGATGAAAATAAAGTGTTTGTAGATGGGGAGGGGAGGAGGGGGTGAAGGGAGGGCAGAGGTAAGGGGAAAAAATGAGAATCAAGACTTG